AAGCAGAGATGCTTGATGGAATAAAGATGGGTGCTGCCTCAGAGAAATTGCTCAATCCATTCATGTTTGCAATTATTTTACCCTTGCGATATTGCCAAAGTAAGTTTTTCAGGAGATTACTTTGCCACGGGAGTGCTCAAGGCAGCTCTGACTTTTGCATCCAACTCTAAAATAAAAATGAAGAACTATAGCCTTTTCTTTTGTGCTCATGAATTGACACAGCTTGCATTTTCTTGCTCAGTATAGTGATATACTTGCTCAGTTGTAGCTTCCTCATCAGTCTCCACCCCTGTCTGGATTTGTGCATCCCCACCCGCAGCACGTAGTAGCTGAGAGGTCCATTTTGCAGAGAGTAATCCTTCTTTATGAATGCCTGTTTTGTGCAAGTTATACAAGAAGGTTGCATTGTAAAATCCTTCTGTTGAACTCTTGCACAGAAATAGTCCTACTTGAGGCATAAATCCATTTGTGAGTAGCTCATCATTAGTAGTTGAAAGTGCTGCATTCTTTACACTGCATGCTCATTAGCTGACACCCAAAATTAAGAATATTTGTTTTTAGAACTGATTCAGAGACATTGTAGATAAATACTTGGAACTTATTTTAAAAGGGCCAGGAAACAGTGAGCTGAACTGTTTGCTGCTTTCAAAGGCATGCAAGCCAACAATAATAAAACAGAAAAGATGAAAGACGACAAGGGGAGAGAGGTAACAGTGGTACACACTTTATTTCTCTGTTAGTGCTTATCTGAAGAAATGTCATATGACATTGGGTAGCTTAGAAAAATAATCACATCTTTCAGAACCTCCTTTTGCTGTATTAGCTCATGGAATCATGGTTGCATATATTTCAACTTCAATTAGAAATCGCTCTCCCATATTTTAGTACTGCAACTGGTATGGTAGAATAGGAAGAATGCTAATTTTCAAGAGCATTTCTTGCTTGTAATAATTTCATTCATACAATTGTTTGGAAAACGATGAATTAAATGTATGCATGGGATACCGAGTGTGGTGTAATGGATAGAGTAACAGACTGGGACTCAGGAGACAGAATCAATGTTGCTGCTAAGCTGCGCACATGTGCACTTGCCCAGAGCTCCATCAGGGTTGTGCATGGGCAGCCGGTTTGTTTACTTCCTGTTTCAAATGAAGACCCACCCACTTCTGCATTCATGGAGTGAGACTCTCGTGCAGCAGGACAGAAACTTAGAGGGAACATTGGTTAGAACCTCTGTTCAGCCATAAAAACTAACTGGGGGTATAGAACTGGTAAAACTACTCTTTAAATACCTCGTTTACATTGAAATCCCTGTTAGGCTTTCTAGAAGTCATTTCCAACTTGAAGGCACGTAACAACAAATGCATGCACATCTATCTATCTATCTATCTATCTATCTATCTATCTATCTATCTATCTATCTATCTATCTATCTATCTATCTATCTATCTATCTATCTATCTATCTATCTATCTATCTATCTATCTCATTCTTTAAAAAAAAGACATGAGGCATCTTAAATTCTATGAGAAAAACTGAAATGTTTAAGCAACAGTAACAAATACGTATCCTCACCTAAATACCAAACAGGGTATTAAATAATTGTGGGTGTGAAATGCAACCATACACCACTGTCTCTTAGAGACTTGCATTAATGTTTCATTGTGTAATCTCTGTATTCTACTTCATATGTCTGAAAAAGTGGACAAACCTTCATGAAAGCTTTCTTTAAAATATCACAGTCTTTAAGGTATCACATTTTCATCTTTTTATTTTTTTTCTTTTGTTTTTGCCTGATATTCAGTATTTCAGGCATTGATCTCAGAAGATAGCCAGGTTCATGCTAGGAAAGGCATTGACAGATATTGAGATCCCGATTTCTAAGGCTTTATAGATTAAAAACCAGCAGATTAAATTGGTTCCAGGAATGTACTGGGAACTAGTTAAACCTCAACAGATTAAGAATTATATAAACAGACCTTCAGGTCCCCATGATCAGTGTGCTTGTTATAATCTGTATTAGTTATATTTTAAAAGCAGTTCTACTATATACATAGCACGTTATTTTGTTCTAAATCTGTGAGAAATCCCATCTTAACAGTACATGATACTTAATGATTTTTGCTAGTGAAGGCCCATCCTAAAAACTGAGAAGTTTACTCAACTGGAAGGTTTTGAGGATTTTTCTTCATAACATTTGAAACCCGAGCATTATATTTTGGAGACAAATTCTCCAAAAGATATAAATGAGTACAATATTGGTTTATTTCAGTGGCCAAGAAGGGATTTCAACTCTGGTCTCCTAATCCAATCCTATCCACTACACCAGTGGTCCCCAACCGTGGGCCTCCAGATGTTCTTGGACTACAACTCCCAGAAGCCTTCACCACCATCTCTGCTGGCCAGGGTTTCTGGGAGTTGAAGTCCAAGAACATCTGGAGGCCCAAGGTTGGGGATCACTGCACTACACCACACTGGTTCATACTGAAATAAATGGGAACACTTAATTCTGTGTGATGCTGCAGTCAAGTACTTTAAGATCATTTACGTATCTATTAAAGCCAAACATCTAAAAATTAATTTATAATGTAATTCATTATCACATATCTGAGCAATAATGACTATGTAACTTCATTACTGATGATCTGTAACTGCAACTTGATGTCAGCATCAAGTAGATATCTTGTATCTACATGCTTGTTTACAATTTCAAATAATTCAGATAATACAAGACTTCCTGTTTCATAAACCCTCCTGATTCTTTTTCATCAAAGCTTACCCTGCTATAATACAGATTACAGAATCTACTTGTTTTATGTTTTTAACCATAAAACTTGCAACCTTATGCATAACTACTCAAACATTAAGTTGCACTGCATTCAGTAAGACTTATACCTTAATGTGTAGAGCAGTGCTCTTCAACAAAGTGCCCTTCAGATGGGAAGAACTGCAATTCCCACCAGGAAATCATGATTAATTTATTTGGTAGAAATAGTTAGAGGATTAGGTTTGCAGTTTGTTGAATCCATCTTAAAAGACAGGATTGGCTAAATTTCTGTTTAATCGTGTTGTCTTCTTTTCCTTTTTCCCCCTTAATCATTATAGATGACAGAATGTCAATTCTGTCATTGAAAAGTAGGAAGATAAATAACATGTTGCTGTCTTTCAAGAAGCATGAAAACCTGTGCAAAAGCAGTCTAGGCTTTGATAAGTATGGGAACTGTCCAGTGCTCTTTCAGACAGCATCGTATTACTGGGAACCAGCCCATCTTGGGACTACTCAGTCAGTCAGACAGCTGCTGCCTTCAGAAACTGAATGAATGGAGATAACCATAGACACCAGGAACGGCTCTTAAAATTTATTTCTAGTACAGTATAGTAATATAGCTTTGTGAGTTAGGTATCCAGCTGCAGAGCTTCATTTGGGAGTTTGATTCCCCGCTGTGCCTCCCAGCATGTGTTGCCTTGGGCAAACTGCACCGTCTCAGGGCTCCTCCAGATGAAGGGAATAATAAACCGGTTCTTAATATCCCATCCCTTGGGGAAAATAACCATAGGAATGGTCACCATATGTCAGAACCGACTTGATGGCACACATATTAGACAGCAGTAATAGATGGCACCCCTGTGCCAAATATTGTTTCTATCCAGATCTAAGTATTTAAGGGTTGCAGTACAAAATCTCAGGAGTCATGTGAATTACAGAGCCAAAATAGGAGTCACAGTCGATGCAGATCACAGAGTTATGGCTTTTAGTGACATGCCATTTGTTTTGGTCATCAGTGTGTTTGCCAGTCTATCGAGCAATATGACTGCCATTACTGTATTAATCTGCCATGCCAGATCCCTCAGAAGGAAAGACCTTCCCATAGGAACTGACAAGATGCCAAAAAGATTTGGCAAAAGGGGGTATTAGAGATGTGAAAGAGCTATCGATGAAAGGTGAATGCTGCATTACTGACAGTATGAACAATATTAATTCCTCCTACTTTGAGAATCTGCATATGTGATGTCTGAACATATTCAAGCGAACACTGATGCTTGTCACCATTACATCCAGGAGCTGAACACTGATGCTTGTCACCATTACATCCAGGAGCTGTGACTCCTACAGATAGGTTGCAGTCCTATATAACTAAGTGGAATTGAACATAGTCAGACATATATAAGAAAAAAACCAGGGATTGCTCTATCAGTGTGAGGTGAGAAATTGGTAGATCTGGACCTTAAGCGGGGCTTCTCTTTTTCCTTCAGTGGACACAATCTACCTTGGCCACTTCCAGATTCTCATCCTGCATAGGACCAAAATAGCCACACATGGCTCGACCCAAAAACGTGTGAGTTCAGAATTCTGTTTCAGTACCAGAATAAAAATCTGAATGATAAGGCGATGCGTAAAAGATGCCACACATTAAAAAACATTTAACCCTTCAGCTCTTTGTCAGATGGCTCATCCGTACCCAGTAAAAATAAAGTGCACAAGACCAAAACTCCCCAGCATATTTCAATCTATCTCATTGTATTACTTCTGTATATGAAGTCTCTTAATGACCTGTTCCGCGTTTCTCACTTTTTTACCCTTTAGCCTTTAAGAAGTCGATCCTTTAAGAAATACTGGCACTAGGTAACAAAACGAGAAGTAAACTCCAGTACGAGGTCACGTGCCAATAAATGCTCGTTTCTTGTCACTCACTGCCACACTGTCCCTTTAAATGCATAAGTTTTTTTAATTTTCTTCCCGCGAAACGGACAGTGCTTCTGAGCAGGCACAAAGTGCCCTGCTTCCCCTACCACGAGGAGCGCCCGCCCAGTCTCCTTGCATTTGTGGGACCTGTAACTCGCCACTAGGACCTCCTCCGCCTTCCAGATGACCCAGGTCGAACACGCTCGCCGCCCAGCCTCGTCCCTCGCGGCGAGGGTTCCTGACCTTTCCCGCCCCGGGGGGCTCTTTTCTTCGCGGCCCCGTCGCTCCCCTCCAAGGGCGCCCCCCCACCTCTCACCTGCAGGTAAGGCTTGCCCCGGTCGAGGCCGCCCACCACAATGTCAGCCGAAGCCATGGCTCCCGTGGGAGAGAAGCCGAAGCCCACGTAGCCCTGCGTGCGCACCTCGAGGCGGAACGCGATGGCACCGCTCTCCGGTGCCCACGAGAGTCGATAGCGGGACGCCCCGTCTAGCACGGCGCTGTGCGGATAGCGCCGCCCGCCCACAGCGGGCAGCCCCGCTAAGAAAAGCAGCCAGAGCGGTGGCGGGGGCAAGGGGCGCATCCTCTTTCCTCCTCCTCCTCCTCAGCGACCCCCGCGCGCTCCGGGACGCCGCGGCCGAATTGGCGCCGGCGCGCACCTCCTCAACGCCTGGCTGAGGCAGCGCCTTGGACGGAGCCCGGTGGTGGTGGCGGTGGTGCTGTTGCCGCCGCTGCCGCTGCCGGCTCTTGGCGCCTCCACCGGTGGCTGCGCCTGCTAATTGGAGGGGGCGGGAGCCGGTCACCCCGCCCCTGCCGTGCCTGCCCTCAAGAGCTGAACCGAGAGGGGTCGGCGCGCGCCGGCACGAGAAAGCCTGGCTGGGACTCAAGCGGCGAAGGAAAGCGGGCAGCGGGCTGAGACCGCGGCGCTTCTGAGGAGAGAAGGGGCGGTGTGTGGAGGGGGGAGGGGGTACCGGGCAGACTGGTGGTGCCCAGGCAAAAAAGGCGAGTGCCTCAAAACGACGAAAAGTTGGCCGCGTGAGAGGCAGACATTCAATACTACAATTTGTCCCCAACTCCTTGGGGGCAAACCTGAACCTGTTGCCCAAGCTGTCAAGACACACCATGCTGAGGGAGCAGGGATAGTCCGGCCACGAGGTGCAGCGCCCCCAGGTCAAAGGGAGGGGGGGTTAACAACCAAAGACGCGGCGCAGAGTGAGGTGACCGTGGGCACTGAAACTGAGAGGGCACAAAAGTTTGCTGCTGGAGGCGTAGACCTCACCATGGATATTTGCACGATCCCACTCACCCTGGGCACATATAGTCCTCCATCTGCTCCACAAATGCGGAAGAAATGGACTCCCTAACCAAAATAAGTGGTTGTGTGATCACACATCAGCGCTCTTCTCTTTCTCTGTTATCTATCTCTCCTATCGTATGCCAGTCTCCTGTCACTGGAGCTGAACAAAGGAGATGCAGAAGCTTCAGGCATCAGGTTGGCTAGTTATTGCCCTGTTAACAGCCAAGAGCCTTGTCGTCTCTTGAAAAGCTAGCACATTTTGTTGTGCATAAGCTCAACCCACTGGACCTTGTGGGCATCAGTCCACTTCATCAGCTCATTTTTAGTCTCCAAGACTCCTAAATTTCACAAGAACACATTGCTAGTTCACTTGTTATTCCCCAGTATCCCACGTGGCTGGTTGAAAGATTAGAAAGATCAGTAGCCAACACACATGCACACACATGTTACTGATGTGTATGTTGACAGATGCACAAAATTTTGTCATGATGCTGCAATCTCTGTGGTGCTGGAATTTTCCAGGTGTCACATGCACTGATTTGGCACATTTGATCTATGGAGATACAATAAACTCCTGTAAATGAGCCCTTTCTTTACTAGTTTGACCAGCTACTGTGAGTGATAGCCCAAAAGAGCGACCACAGCACAATTTTTTTATCAGTTTGTTTTTTTCGGTACTACTCTATCCCAAGCTGCCAAAGCCACCCAGGTAGTTTAGTACAGCATGGAGCTAGCCAAGGGGCAAGTTACAGCCTTGGAATGAGTCACATTGCATCATGCAGTCAGCAGGGTGGGAACCTTAGTTGTTATTATTAGGATGTTTTATGCTGTTGTATCTTGAGGGCTAAGGGCAGGTCACAACACAGTGAAAACTGCATCCCAAAAGGCTTTTAAAAATACACATGGAAAAAACATTGACCATGCATTTTCATAAAATCCTTAATCACCTTTCAGCCTCCCCACCATACTTGCAATGAGGATAGAATTAAGAACATGGGAAACTATTGGTTTTTATTGCTTATTTCTCTGAAATGTGACATATTTTTATCCTCCAAAGAAAGGGAAACCCTACCTGCTAATAAAATCTACCCCTCCACAAGGGGGAAGGAAATTACAAGCACTTTTCCCTTCTGAAAAACCAGCATTTAAAGAATCCTAACATCAAAACTTGTCTGATTTTTTAAAATCTCAGAAAGATCTACTATAAACAAAAAATCCATCAAATTCCATTAAAAGTGTTAAGTTTTAGTTATCTGTGGATTTCCTATCATAAAGCATCAGAATTCTGAATCTTGCCTTGGACTTAGCTGTGGGCCAATCTGTACAGCCTCCAGATCCATGCAAGTTGAATCTGAATTGCTGAGTAGGAGTCTGAACTGAATCTTGTAGTCATTATACAGTGCTATAACATGCTGCTTTTAAATTCATTTATGATGTTCTCAGAGAGTCCCAGATGCATACACATCTTTCTGAACTGTTTTTAAAGGGGCAGATCCTAATTGAAAAAGTTATTTCATGGAAGGTGTCTCAAGTGCTGAGCATAATACCTCAGAATGCTGAACACTCACAATCAATAGAGGGACTGTAATAATCACTGTGCTGATTGCTATATATAAATAGCAATCTTGGTAACCAGTAGGATTAGTATAGGTTGCACAGTCCAAAAAAATGACTGTAGTGCAAGCTTTCTCGCATCTCCAAGATACTAATTTCTGCCTTTAGCCCCTTCCACTTTGCTTCTGACACAGTTGTGGCAGAAAGTGCTATCTTGAATGAGCCTAAGTTTCTGGACACAGCAAAGAGACAATTTATTGTAAAGAGAAAGCATTTTAAGAGGCTGGATATTTTATAATCATCACTTTCAAACAGCATGGACTATCACACACCATAAAGGGTGAGCAGAGAAATTCCAAAAAGGCCCATTCAGTTCATGTTTTCAGAAATCAAAATAACGTTCGGTAATAGGATCTAACCAACAAGAAGGAAGCTGACATAAGGGCACATATGTAAAGGAAAATGGAGAGATGCCACTTCTGGCCACAAAGTACACTTTTCACAATTTGTTTTGCAAACAAAATGATGTCACCATAAAATTAAGAACATAGGTACCCTTGCTAAATTTTAGAAATCACATCAGGAGGTATTTTTCTATGCCATGTGTGCGGTATGGAGTGTGCAAACAGAACTATACATGCCATACTACTAAAATAAGGCATGAGATCACATGTTTCCACCTAGCCTTTTAAACCCACTCTTTGAAATCATCTCTTAAAGCTGTGCCATGCAGATATTTTCAGCTGAAATGGTTCCTGCTTCCTTTCAAACACCTTCCTTCATAGCTTATAGTTCAATGGGGCAGATTTTCTGAAAATGTCTCTGAAATATGAGCATCCCCTGAGCCTTCAAAGAGCATTGCCTCCAAGCTATCAAGCTTTTTCACACACTTGTGTCCTTAGTTTAAAACTGATGTATCCATCAGTGGCCTGTGTGCTAATTTGTTTGGAAGCTAGCAAGCATTGTGGAATTATATCCAAAGAAGTAGGAAAGAACTTCTGGATGGAAGCAGAGAGGGTCAGTTTTAAGTAGTGGAGGGGGGAAGCTCTAAATAAATACAGTCCAAATTGGATTGCTGCTAATATCAGCAGGCCATAACTCTGGAAGTACGGTTTACACTGAATTTCACAGTTAAAACTGACTTGAGGCTATAAGAGGATATACAGAATGGATATCCAAGGGTTTTAAAATTAAGCCTGGATTACAGAAGGATCTACTCAGTGCATTAATTCTCAATAATCACAGTTCCTGTACTGCTGTTCTAATGCATCCAAGATTATCTTTTTTCCAGATCTTCGATCTAAGCATTCTCAGAACAGATTTTTTTAAAGGATCTTGTTGCAGGTGCAGAATCGATGCACATGCAGTTTGTATAAGCCTTGTGTCTGTTTACGTGATCTGCTAAATATGCATAGACTGAGGGGCTGACATTAAGACTCCTCTGTTTGTCCAGACATGCATTAATCATACCTTTCACTGATGGTCTGAAAAATGCTATATTGTAATTATGCCTATTGCTTAGATGGAGCAAAATTAGGTCAAAAATTCTTTATTTAACATCATTAAAACATGATTCTTATGACAAAGCTGGGTTTTGAACTCTAGCACAGTAATTAAATCACTTCTCAGTTTCTTGCTCAATGGATTTCACTGCACAATGTATTGACACTATGGTTAAATTTAAAGGATGAGGAGAAGGAGGAAGTCTTTTTGGACACAGTTTCATTCAAAGTCTTATTTTTATATATTTTATTTTAATTTACTCTTCAAATTTCTAAATTGGATTGCTGCTAAACCATTCTTTTGATGGATTTCAGGTGTACAAAACATAAATGTATACAAAGACATAAAAATAAGATAAATGGCTATTAGAACATGACAACCAATCATCATGACAATAAAATAGAGAACTAGTAAACTGTACAGGTATATTGTCAGTACACAATAGTTTTTTTTAAGTCTAGGAGAATAAAAATATATTAACCTGGCACTGGCACCAAAAAGCCTGAAGTAACTATCAGTGTCAACTTCCTTAAGGAGGATATTCTAAAGTCAGGACAGGGAAAAGTGTCTTTCCTTTGTATATTCTCTGTGCACTTCTCTTTTGGAGAGAAGGATCTTACCTGGTTATCTTAATGGAGAGACAGTTCAGTAATGAAGAAATGATCCTTCAAATATTTATGTTGCAAGGTAATGATATTTGAACTAGTCTTAGAAATGAATAAGCAGCCAAAGAAATTCATTCAGAATTGGTGAAATGTAGCTCTACTTCAGTGAATGAGTCAGAATACCAGCAGTCTAATTTTGCACTAAGAGAATCTCTCTATCATTTTCAAAGGCATCCCCACATTTTACAGTGGCATAGCTAGGAATGGTTCACTGAAGTTAGGCAACACCCATCTAGGAAAAGCCATATAAATGTATATAAACATTTTGTGTAAAACAGTTGTTTATTATTTACATAGCCTTCCCTGTCAGGATCAAGCATGAAGTCTGTGAGAGGTACTAGAGATGATGATAAGTAGAACCAGAGCCATCCTATATTATTCCTCTATATTTCTTAAGGTTAGCACCACCCCACCTTCTCTCTGCCCCTCTCTTATTGTTATCCATCCATCCATCCATCCATCCATCCATCCATCCATCCATCCATCCATCCATCCATCCATCCATCCATCCATCCATCCATCCAGAAATATACAGATTCTACACACCCCTCACTGTAATCCATTAAATTTCAGGATTTACTCAGTGTTCTCAACAGATTTGATCCTGATTTCCATCAGCTAATATTAAAGAACAATTTAATATGTTTACTTACGTGACAAGATCTGTGATACAAGATCTTACCAGTAAGTTTCAATTTCAAGCATACTGTTCC